CAGAAGCATCATAGCTACTAAATTAGTATACTACTGTAACAACAGCTACAGTCTTGTTACGGAAAAATCTTTAAAGGGACGTTGAAGAAGAATCAGGAACTTTATTGTTTTTGTGCAAGCACAACAAAATCACAAATAGTGTTGTCCTTAAATCACATTGTGTCTGTTGACTGCCTGCAGATTTAGGGAAAGGAAACAATGCAAAAGGTAAGCAACTGTATGATAAAATCAACAAATATAAGCAAAAGCATTAAATTAAATTTAAGACAACACAATTATGCACTTACTGCAAAGTGTATTTAAGTGGTATGTATATGTGATATTTATTGCACAGTTAAAGTTTTAAGGTTATATATATATATATATTGCAAGTGATAAATGTGATGTGTGGAGTCAAACTCTTTGGAGGAAGCTTGTTATGTGATGTTTCTGAGTAAATCTATTAATTAAAAGGTGCAAAAACAAACCCTGGGAAATTAAACTAAAAGTATCTTTGAAAAAAGGGGAAATAAATCAACTAAAAACTTGTTGCTCTGTCCCACCGCTGACAAGTGAACGACATTTTACTTCAGCCTCACCCAAGTGGACTCCACCTCCTGCTCAGGTAAGTTTAGGAGGAGCGTCTCTTCTACATCAAAAATATAGAATTAAACAAAATCACAAACAAAGTATTTGTGTTTCTTTTCTTATTTTCAGCTGATGTCACATTTTATTCTGGGCTCATGAACCAACTTAATTTACTGCAGAGGTATTCCTTCTTCTTTTTTAAAGAATGCCTGTCAAATGAATCCCGACAACATGACAAACACACATCATCACAACTGGGCCAAAGTCCTGAAACGTAACTTTGAGGAAACAGACAACGACAAACAATCAGTTATTTGTGTATCTTGAATGATTGATTAATAGATAAACTGAGATTTGGGATTAAAATGAATTAAAATCCAACAAAAAGTCACAGGTAATGTTGGGAAACATCCAAAAAGGGATAGAAGCGAAGGTTTCACCCTCATAATTCTATAAAACACTAAGTTAATGACCTGATGGATGTCAGTGTGTCTCTTCCTCATGTTGTATCAAATTAATTGAGGACAAAGAAAATTATAATTATTACTAGGCACCCCCCCCCCACCATCCCAACGTGTCTGACTCCGTCCCCACAGACGCACCAACTGTCCAGGAACATAAAAGCAGCAGGTCCTGACTCGGCTCCTTCACACAAACATTATAATTTACAGGTAACAGGCCGTTTCCTCCATGAAGCTGCCGTGCAACAGGGGAAAGTATATGAGAGTAAGAAGCAAGCAGTGCTTCTCACAGACGGGGCAGGGCTGGAACAATTGCTGGGTATTAACTGGTAATAGCTCAGGTCAAGTCTGAGTTTATGGTCTGTTTTTATGAGGGACTGTTTTGCGGACAGGACACAACTGAATCCTGCTGGGGCCTGTTCTCATTTACCAGCTGTGGCCCACAGCAAACAGAACTGTCACACATCCCTCAAACCCAGCACAAGTGTGAGAATTGATCTCTTCATGATGCAGCCTCCGTTTGATTGAAACGTCTGCTCTCCCATCTTCTGCGTCCGGGTGTTGAAGCCTCACTCGCGGGAGCCAGGAGCGGCGCTCTGACATCACGGCCTATCAAATATTAACGTCAGCGTTTGATGAGAGGAAGACACAGGAGAGTGGGGGGGTGATAGGCAGGTCAGGCCTTTTGATATTATTGATCCATCTGATACACAAGAGTGAAGCTTTTGTGAGCATCAGGAATTGTTCTTTATCTAACGGAGTCTTCTCACCGTTATGTGTTTAGGTTTCTATTGAGCTAATAAATGGCGGCTGTGTTAAAATGAGGTGAAGATTTCTACATTCATACCCAAAAGTCTTCATAACCTCAGTATGTACGTGGAAAGAAGGAGTTTTAAAAGTGTAAACATGTAGTTACATGTAGGTTTTGTAAACATGAACTTGGTTGGTGTTATTTCTCTGTATTTTCCACATTTCATTTGACAGTGGAAGATGAATTACAACACTAAAACCCCAGAGTTTGCATGGTTGCATTCTTCGAAGCATGAAGCATAACAGTGACCCTGGGTTTGCAGTGACCCATTTAGATTAATGGTGAAGCTGCTGACCTGCAGCTCAGGCGCTTTATTCCCGACTGAGCATTTCAGATGCCAGATGTTGGAGGAAAAAAAATACAGGAGGTCGGTATTTCTCAGTCCCGTCAGGCTGCAGGGTTGTAGATTCTCAGGGAGGTGCACGTCACTGAGAATGTTGCAGTTTGGTAGAAGGTCGAGGTCAGTCTCTGACTTTTATCTCAGTCTTCTGAATAGTGTGCTTAACCATATTTATGTTGTCTGTTATAACAGGACTTTTTGTTACTGTCAGTCGTGTAGTTTTCCACCAGTAAATGCTTCAGTGCAGCGCTGTGAGCGAGACTAATGATGATATCAGCAGAAATGTCTGACCCCCCCCCCGATGACAAAGTAACAAGGTTTAGTCCTTACAGTACACCCCCCCCCCACACACACACACACAGTTTCATGATAGACATGATCACAAAAGAAATAAACTTGTCATCTGAAGCTCCAGGTGTTTTCCTACATTCACTCTGACTGTGATCAGCTCAGTCCAAAGAAGTGTTGCTGCACTGAAGAGATGTGGTGTCGTGGTTCTGATGATAAATAATCACTGAGCAGCGTGTGTGAACATTAAAGAATAATTTAAGTTGCAGCGTCACGTTTTTGGGGTGTTATGATAATAAATTCTCTTGGGAAGAGAGAAGGTTGCTCTAAATCTTGGAATTCGAATAGAAACAATATCATTTATCATAGTGGAATATTGTAAGGGCAATACATCTAAACATCCAGACAGTATTTTTCTATGAAATGCGGCAGAGTTATTTTGTGGAATGTAAATGTAGAATTAATAGAATCCTCTGTGTCACTGTGCAAAAAGAGAATTGGAAATGCCGTAAAAATTTGATTTGCAATGAAAATGAGCCCTTTTAGATTCTGTTGCTCAAAGTGTATTCAGAGCAAATATCCTTCCTTCTATATGTAATAATATAAGACAATATATGTAGATACACTCAAGCACTTGATTTAGGAACCCTGCTGTTTGTCTACACTTGTGACGTAGATGAAGATCAGATCACATTTTAATGACCAGTGATGCTAGAAATCCATCAGTACAAATTGTTCGCACACATACACAGTATTTCCACAGGGACCTAATACATTTACACATTTGGCTTTAAATGTAATACCACACTTATACCACGTGGGGGAGACGTTACCTAAATGATGTCATGTTACACTGGTGAGAGGGTTTTGTCCAAACAATAAAGCAAAGATCACAAGTAATTATCAAGTAAGAGCAGCACCACAGTCGTCTGCCTCCATTGTATCAGCTGAAGTACTGGCCACTTGTATCTATGTGAATTTACTGTCACTGTTTCTACAGATGTGTCTAAACTGTGAGGCTCTGTGTTGGACTCTGGCTGTCCTGCAACGAGCGTCATACGAATCAGAACCTCTCCGAGACACACAGCCTGAGATGTAGTTTTTCATGTGGAAAACACAAAAGCAACCCTGAGGATCAGGATCTTTTACCTGCAGAGAAAAAAGGCACGAAGGCCTCTGGTTTAACTCTCCCAGCTCACTCAGGAAGTGTTCAGGGTTGAATAGTAGTCTTCATCAAAATGAGAAAATAACCACATAAATACAGATACTCTATTTCTCCCAGTTTTAAAATTAATGCAAACATTGGGGATTGTGTAAATACAACTGAACATATTAACTTGAATATTAGAGCTTTAATTACAATAATCATGCACAAAGTTGTGTTTATATTTTACTAATGTGCAACACAATTCTACTCTTCAAATTTTACTTCAAGAAACATTTTCATGAACACATCTGCCACAATTCAAAAACCTGAACAATCTCAGCTTATCATTCAATAAAAACACAGTATTTATGTTTCCTCTTTTACAGTATGTACACCTGTAATACAGATTCCACTCGCAGCAACTGAAGTTCTTTGATATATCATGTAAAGACTCACAGACTTGGGTCAAGTTAACCAATGAGCGGGGTTTAATATTGAAAACGTTCCGTGACTGTTAACATGAAACCGGACACCTGAGGGGACTTGAGGAAGAATGGGGCCCCACAGTTAAATTTTGCCCCAGGGCCTGACAGTGGGAGGATCCAGCCCTGGTTCCCAGTCTGACCTGCAGAGCCACATTTCAACAAAGAGCTAAAAGCACAACACAACCCATCAAGCACTGAAGACTTGCCAGTTCTGGTTAATAATAATCTGGCTACAAATTAAAATGAAAAAAAGGAACCTTAAATATATAAAGCATCTTTATCTCATTCACCACAGCTTTTCTAAAGACAAATATTCACATTTCTAATAATTTCCTCCCAACACCAGACTCACTGATTTCAAGTTTTGGATTCAACATGGCAGCATTTCACTTCACTGGAGCGCAGCATGACGTCAAACAGTACTGAAGCTATGACAGCACATGGACTGGACCAAACAATAGTTTCATTAAAGTGCTTTGAAAATTACGCCATCGTCAATGTCATAGTATTCTTGATAGAATGTCAATAAATCAAATGAAAAGATATCTATTACACAGAGATCATTTTCTATTTGAGTCATTAAGTGAAACACTTATACATAATTACACATGAAAGGTAAGAACATTTTATTGGAATATAACCTGAATACATTTGTATGTATAACTAGCAATATTCTGAGTTTGTGCAATCAGTGGTTATTCAATATTTTCAATTACAGCAACAAAAAAATAGCACTCGATGAAAAATATCATTCAGTGTAAAGAAGTCATGGCTCTTCATATGTCTCATTGCCAGAATGTTCATCTTCTCACATACATTAGAGTACAGAAGACCAATGATCAACAAGTGTGACAGTCCAGCTTGGCTTTTACAGTCAACACTGGGTGTGTGCAGAACTTGTGTCCCAGTGAAATCCCCCCCCCCCCCGAGGTCGTGCTTCTCTGGGTGCAGCGCTCCATGGATACAGGTGAGATATGACGCCAGGAGCTTTTTGTGCTGCTTCAAAAGAGCCCATAAGAGGAGGAAGATCAAAAGCTCTCCATTTACACAAAGACTGGCCCCTCAGCTATAGAGCGACAATCCAGGGGTGATGCTGCTGATTTACTGTGGGAGTGTCACAGTCCCGGGAGGTTCAGAAACTGCTGAGAAACCCAGAAACCTCTCAGCAAAAAGCAAAATGGTTTTATTATTATCATGTCTGTGATCGACACGTGTCCCACATTAGAGATTGAGCTTTGACGGGAAATCAAAGTGAGCAGGGTGCAGATATCCTGAAGGGCAGCAGACCACGCTGCTCCTTTGCAGAGCTCCGCCATGCTCTATTTCTAGTGTGAGTGTATGTTAAGGCTTGTATTCCTCCTAAGCTCCACGAGGCCCTGAAATAGAGTGACAAGCTGTCTCCATAAATACAGAGCCCCTATGGGGGAACCTAATTGCTTTGTGATCCTATGCCGGCTTTAGGGGACTTCGTCGTGTCCTTCTCTTCTGACAGAGGAATCCTATTCTCTTCCCCGAGCCAAGTAACAGCACCAAAGCAAGATGACCGTCTCTCATTACGACCTCCAAAAAGGTTACCATAACATCCAGGCTCCGGGCCCATAGGCTACCTGCATCCACATTAACCCCCGTGACCCTCACACACCAGAGAAGGTCTTTGGGTGTATCATAAAGAATGACGATGGTAGGGGTGGGTGTTTGTTTAGGTGGGAAGTTAAGGCCTGCTTTTGTTTATGAACAGTCTGTCATAGTGGTGGGGAAATGCCAACAAGGGGACAAACAGGTGGACTGCACTCTTTTTAGATTTTCTCAAGGTTGAGATTTGCTCAGGGACACTTGAGGCTCGAGTGTCCTGTCATTCCTGACCTGTTTTGTTATGACTTTACAAAGTCATGACTTAAATTCTTGTTGTTTTGCATCACTGGGATAGAAACAAAGGCAATGTGTGTGATTGCGCCTCGGTGAATAAATTGATGTTCTGGATTCTCCGAGTGGCAGTGCCGCCTGTGTTGTAAACTGAGGTAGAGAGCAGGGCAGGAAGTCAGCTCCAACAGTTGCTGCCGCTGTGTAAACCCAATCCCTTTCTCACATTACTCTCACATCCATGTGCCTCACTCTTAGGATTCAAAATAACCTGGAAATGAAAGCAGTCAAACCCACTCTGATCTTTTGTCCTGTGCATCATCATTGCTCTGAAGCTCTGCACCACTACCCAGCTCCACCAGCGTGTACTGACCCACCCTTCTCGTACAGGTTTTTGCTGCTGTGGAACCATCCGCAGTTGGCCCCACCGATGCCCCAGGGGGCAACCCAAGGTCCCGTCTGGGAGGAGGGGGCGGTTTGACTCTATTCCGTTTGCTAACGCGAATGGATCTGGGCGTCCCCATTGGCTCTGGGGGACAGAGAGCAACCTCGCTGCCGTTTCTTTCCGGAGGCTCCTCTTGGGTGACAGAATAACCGTTGTTCCCGTTGGTGTTGCCTCCTGTGGATCCTGGAGAGCGGTGAAGAGAGGAGTTCTCCAAGAGAGGTGGCTCTACAGCTGAAGCAAGCACCCCCCCTCCACTGCCTCGCCTCTTCCGGAAACCCCCCATTTGACCAGCTTCCCCCTCTAAATCCTGCTGAGCCAGGGGGGCATTTATGTCCATTCCCTTAGAAGTCCCCCCGCCTGAAAGGAAACATTGCTCTTCCTCACATATTTTCGCCACCATCATCTTCTTCTTGCTCTTCTGCGTCACTGAGCGCTTGATTGCGCAGATGAAATCCAACACGTTTAAGAAAAGGGACAGAGCAGCCCCGCCAAGCATGAAGTTGAGCATCACGGTCTTCTCTGTGGGCCTGGAGATGTAGCAGTCCACCTGGGTGGTGCACGGCGGATGCTGGCACAGGAACCTCTTGGGGATATAGAAACCAAACAGATAGTAGTGAGCAGCTCCAAACCCAGCCTCCAGCAAAGTCCTAAACATCAGATGTAGGATGTATCCTCCCGTGAAGCTCTCAGCTACCAGAGGTGCCTTGTTCATGGACGTCTTGCTGAACGGCTCCTGACGGATCTTGAACAATGGCGTGGCGTGACCAGAGGTGTTCAGATCCACGCAGAGGCCATTGGACACTTTGTGAACCACGTAGATGATGAAGATGAAGTAAGGGAGACACAAGGTGACGAGCTGCACCAGCCAGAAGCGGAAGAGAGAGATGGGGGAGAACAGATCGTAGCACACGTTGGCGCAACCAGGCTGAATGGTGTTGCACACGAATCGCTCCTGCTCGTCCTGGTAGAGAGGGTAACCAGCGAAGAGGAGGATCAGGATGCGGAGGACGAGCATCACAATGAGCCACACCTTCCCTGGAAGGAACACACATTGGAATTTTAAAATGTTCTGATTGGACTCATTAATTAATGTGCGATGCAGAAACATTTGCAGATTTCATGATAGTAAAAAAAAACATTTGAAAATCTGAAATTGCTCTGGAGTTTAAACATCCACAGAGGAGCTGAAATATTTCTGTGCACATAAATCATACAAGAATGATATATTTAAATAAGCCAACTCACCCATCAAAGTGATGCTGTGATTGACAGAGATGAAGATGATCTCAGAAGCACTTGGTCCTGCCATGATTACACACTTGATCTTCTGGTCCTCAGGTTCCAGGCCACATCAAAAACTAAGCCACCACCTCAATCCTTATCCAACTACCTTTCTTCTCCTCCTTCCACATCTACCCTTTCCCAGGGGCAGAGTTGTTTCCAGTGGCACAACTACCTCCAGGCACACAAAGTTTCCAGTGACAATCTGAAACAGAGATTCTCTCCTCTGAACCACGCAGACCCTCTTGTCTTACCTCTGCCTCTGTCCCCTGCAGACAACTGCCGTGTGTCCTCAGACAACGGAAGACAGGAGTGAGCCCCATTGTGGGTCTATTCTTAAACACACTTCCAGCACGCCGCCGTCCTGGCATTGCAGAGATATTTTGGTGCTGCTGGTCGTCTTTACAGGAGAGCAGCGAGCCTCCTCACTCACTCACTCACTCTAAACGGCAGTATTAAGTTCTCAATCACAATGGCAAGCGCATTCAAACCGGACGCTCCATAACAGACACCAACGTTGACCGTGCATCTTCCAGTGATAAATCAAGGTGCAGATATGCAGAAGGTGGATTAGCCCTCGTGAAATGAGAGCAGGCTGTAAACTGTATTCTCCCACAGCTGATGCCAGTTTATGAGCGACAAAACCGATTTTATGATCATTTAACATCATGTGAAGTCAAGGCATTTTTTTAATCATTAACCTGAAGAAGTTAAGTTCTGACAATTAAATCAACCACATTAGCCTATTGGACTGATGCATGCTTTCAAACATTCTTCTTTCAGGTCTACCCAAGAACACACTTCAGTTACAATTCATTCAACAAGGAGAGCACACACGACACCCATTGTTACACTGGTTACCTGTTAGACTTCCTATTGATTTTGAAATTAACACAATTTATCAGAAATGCTTTATGAAACAGTAAGGTCCCTTTTTTTGAACCTGACATGTAAAGTGTTGTTGGCTCTTGCTATAGAAACTCAGGTTATTAGTATTAGTATTATTAAGGTCCTCTGGTTCTTCTGTTTAAGCTCTGACTGAATATTTATTATTATTCTTATTATGCTGCTATCTATATATATATATATATCGTTTCTTTTACGGTGGTCTTTTCTATTATTGATTGCTTAGGTTTTCATGAGTCTCTAAAGTGTTTTACAAATGTTTGAACATCCTATATTTCATCAATCATTTGTAAAGCACTGAATCTTGTGAAAAGCTTGGTTATGGGCTAAGTGAGATGGGGGAGTGTAATTGATTCTATTTAAAATTCATAAAGCAGCTAGAACAGAAAAGTGCTGCAATTTATTCAAATGAACAATGTCGACCTGGAACTGGGGATTTTTCAAAAACACAACACGGAACAAAATGTCACATGAGCGATCCACAGCGTAAAGGAGGGGTAGTATCACATCATTTGGAAATTAAACAGATAACTGTCATTGTCTTAATACATATGTCATCTCTTCCACTTCAGATGTCAACTGTTGACCATTTGAATGCAATAGGTCATATTTAATTACCAACAAGTCCATTTATCTTTTCTATTTCTGGACAAAGACTAATGAAATGATTTCTGCATGGAGATAGAGGGAGGGTCATCTCCGACCCACTTCCCCGTGACGGCTTTCATCACCAGCATTAAGAGTGAACATCTCCAAGGAGAAGGACACTAAAAAACAAACCCCATACAAGTTTAGGACACTCAACTGAAGGACAAACATGAACCCCACCACCTCACAACAAACAACCACCCTCACACAACCACCCTCACACAACCACTGCAGCACAGTGACTGAGCCCGTGACCTGTCAGCCTGTACTTAAAGTGGAACGTACCATCTGCCCAATTAAGCATGGGGGGGTTAAACAGGTGCAACCATTCCAGAAACACTCAGCAACATATAAAATGCTAATTTAAGATATTTTGACGATATGGACAAGTGAAGTTAACATGCACACTCACATGCACACACACTCACATGTCTTCAGAATGTAATTTAGTGCAGAACAGTTTTAATTTTCCCTTCAGCTGCTTGAGACAGTCTGATTGCTGCTGAAAGGGCAATGAGGAACACCTGATTTCACTTGTGCTGCAGCAACACACACACACACACACACACACACACACACAAACACACACACTGCTGCATTTATACAATATAAACTTGCTGTCTTTTTGCATAACAGACGTAATTTAATATTGGGTGGGATGCTGCCAGAGGGAGGGATGTTGAGGGAGGGGGCACTGGGATTTATATCTGTGTCAACCACTGAGAATTTGTGCTTTTTGCAAATAAAAACTGAGAAGAGTGGAATATGTGAAGCATTAAAACTGAACACTGCTTCTCCATTTTTAGTTGTGACCTGGAAATAGACAGTAGACCGGCTCCAGACGACCTGAGAGAATCACGTATCAGTACATCAGAAAAGCACATAAACCTGCAAATGGTAAAATATATGGGTTTTATGGAGGATCATCTTTCATTATCTTAAAGCTGCACTTATATTTTCATATAAGCAAAAGGTCAAGTGGCAATGACTCCTCAGAGAATTATCTCGACTCAGCCGTTCCTTTCAGCTCCACGGAGCTCACACAGTTTCCAGCAGGAAGGAGTAAACCCACTGTGCAGCATGTGGTAGAGACTAAAATCAAAGCCAAAAGGAGAGTTAGTACTGACACAGCTCCAAAGGAATGCCAATGTTGATACATACTGTGTATTTAGGGTGTAGCAGGCATCTGTTTGCTAATATGACAAAATATAAAATACAACTTGAAGCAGTTTACAGATGTATTCCTATGTTAGAGCTAAAGTCACACACTCTATCATGGTATGAAAGCCCAGCGTTTCCATGCATGTTCTCCGGTGTCTGCTTTTGACATTTTTTTGGAAAGATCAATGTGCACACGGAAACATCTTTTGGCACGAAGGACAAAAATAACGCTTCAAGACACAAATGTCACTTTAGAGAAAATAAACATGACAATAAATGGTCTTGACGTTTGAGGCTCATCCTTGCAGCTTTTACACAATCGGATGTTGTGCAGCTGGAACATTCACGTCTGAATAAAAGCTCCTGTTGTGTCGTTAAACTGAGTCAAGATATCAAATCTTTCTAAAATTCTCTGAAAGGAATTTGGAAAGTGTTTTCACAGAAGCTCACGGCACCTCTTCATTGTTTTGAATTGACTTGTATAACACTTCTGCAGAGGGGTGATTGAAATGCAAATGAAGGCTAATATAGAGGATTAAATGTGTCCCAGAGTGACAGTATGGCAGAGTGTAATCTCTGTATTAGCACTTGCTCTAAGCCATTTAAATGGTTCTCTGTGGGAGGAGGAACCCTGCAGAGTCAGTCGTACAATACAGAAAGAACATCCCCAAGTATTGTGCGACCGAGTGGAAAGCATTTGTGATAACACCATGAGGGAAGGTTTGAGATCTGTGTGTGTGTTTGAACATTTAGATAAAACAAGAGTCATACATGTGGTTTTATTTCAAGGCTGTAAAGTTTAATTCTTGCAGGTTTCTCTAAACATTGCTTCAGAAGAGAAGAAGAATCGGGAGCAGTTCTTTAAATCATAAGAGAAAACATACACGGAAGAAAGAACATAGAGAAAGAGAGAGATCTGAGTTTGGCAAACTGAGAACAGGAACAAATAACCAACTAACTGAAAGGGAGGAAATCCACTGACGAGAACAACAGAATACAGCACAACTTGTTGAGAATATCCATGAAAAGAACAAACAACAAATAAAACAGGGCACAGCTACAGCAGCTGACTGACGTTAGCACAGGAAATCGTCAGGATCAAAGCTGAATTTGTAAAAATCCAAAATTTGTCACTGAAGAGAGGAAGGACAACCAAGAGAGAAGTTAAACTCTATGCAGAGGTAGAGTTCAGTGCACACACACCGAGTAACCAGCCGACAGGACGCCATGGACCCACGGTTTGTCTGGAGGGTGGATTTTCCATCTCAAGACTTGCCACAGTTGATCACATCAACGCTTAACTGGGCTGTATGCACACACACTTATAAACAATAAATAGGATATACAATCTTCGAACACCTCCAACAGTTCGAACTCTCAACAGCAACTCCAGCGATGTTACTTTCCTAAAGACGCATATTCTGTACTTGTATTCCCCACTTGTTCAAAGCACCGTGCAAAACGACAGCTGCTCTCTCTGACTCCTTTCGTGTACTTTTATTTATATGCAAATGGTCCAGAGCAACACGTGGAACAGGTCGGTCCATCATTTTCCCCTTAATCCGGTTCAGTTCTGTCCCTCCTCACAGCAGCTGGTCAGGGTGGAAATCTCACAACCGACCGACTGATTCTCGAAGCTGAACTTTACTTAAATCACAGACTTGCTGAGGAAATGCACAAAATAACCAAGAGGCTTGAAGATCCCTAGCTGTTCTGAATTAGACCTTTTCCTGATCTTTTTTGATTTATAAAGAAAGATGCATTTAAACAATGTTGTTTTTTAGACATGTCCAGGTTATGTGCTGATGTTTTTAAAGCATACAGTGATGTAGTGAAGAATGTGAGTCCAGCTGAGCATAAGGCAAAAAGCCACTATTGTAAAGTTTATATATTGAAGACATTACTTGACCCATTGATGAAACCATATCCTCAAAAAAAACAAAATTAAATGAACCAATTAAATCAAAGATTTTACCAAATTATTTTTTACTATTTCTGAGGTGAAGAAAAAAGCAAATAGGTCAGGATTCGTTATTTCCATTAGAAAACTGTGGCGCCCCAAAACTGACCAACTGCTGTAAAAGGTTATCAAACAAGTTAGCATGAGCCCATCAGATGGAGATATTATCAAATAACTCAAACATGGAGTGGAACTTTGTGGAAACTTTTTCCTTTAACTTGCAATCAGTCGGTTAAAGAAAAGCAGTTGATCTTTTTTGCTTTACCACTAATCAGTTGGTCAAATACATGTAAAACATATTTACTCTTCTCAAATGCTTCTTCCAAATATATAACCAGCTGATTAGATGAACAATAAAAGCTTTTATTTGATTTAACCAACAATGTTGATGTACTTCGTTAGACGGACATTTTTGATCTATCTGTAAACCTGATACAGTTAGTCAGATTCAGGACTCCATACAGAACAGGTTTTATGACTTTAATCAGAAACCTATGAATCTGGCAATGTTTACAGAGTGGGGCTAAGAATGATCTTTTACACAGGATGACAAATAATACAAATGTGCCTCAATTGTCTTGTATCATCTCTATAATTGTACTTCAATAATTTCCCAATTTGTGATCAATACAGTACATCTATCTATACCGTATGAAGAATGTGATACATAGAATGGCATTTCCTTCAGTGCGAACACATCATAACAAGAAAACAGACAGAAAAATCTTCAGTGGTTTCTCCCATTTAAATGTTAATACTTATTTGAATCATATTTACCGTCCCCATTATGTACATTAAAAATGGATCCAATATAAATATTCTAACATCATTATTTGGGGAAGGGTGCTGTGTATTTTTTTTAACAGTACGACTTCAGTCTACAGATTTGCACACTGGCACTGTATTTACACTGTACAGAAACAATTTAGCGAAAACATTTCTTTTTATCATCTATCTTAAGCAATGTCTGAATTGTCACTTGATGCATTTTCATTCGTTTCCTCTCCAGAAAAACATCAAGAAAAACAACCCTGAAGAATCATGCGTTTAGTGGCTTCTAAATGTCGATATTCCTTTTTGTGCTGTTTGTTTGTTAGCTGGAAGAACCATACAAAATGTTAAAGACATAAAATATTTCAGTTATTTTTTTCCTCCACTATAAAAAGGGGTGGGGGGGGTGTTAAACTAGCTTCTTACAGGCACCACAGGTTGGGACAATGGCAGTGAAGAAAGTACAACAGAAGCTCTACAGTATGTCTCAGAGTAGTGGACCCCCGTCTTCCAGTCTGTCTTCTCCCAAGTACATGTGCTGCATGGATATTGCTTTAAGCTGAATCTGAATGGCGGTCGAGATAAACCGTTCTGCGACTGGATCGGAACACTGTTGGATTCCTAGGTCCTGCCAGAGCGCCCTTGAGCAAAACACTGATTTGCATTCACTGAGCTTCAGTTAAATGACGAGACGTAGTACGGTAATTTATTAACTGTACACTAAAGTTAACAGTGGAATGTACACGTCCCTCCTTTGTGTGTGTTTGAGGTTTCTGGACGGAAGGAATTGAGAATTTAAACTTTTAGATACGCCCGAAAGCCGTTCAGAAACAGAATGAGCCGAAATCTAAAAAATAAAGGAATGTTTGTGGCCTTCGTCAATCAACCGTATTAAACAGCTGAGCCTCAAGGGATTATGGAACGCTGCTGTCATGAGTTGTATTCCACTTTACACTTTGTTCCTAGTTTTTCTTTTACCAGCTTCACACACTCTTTGTTTCCACTAGGCCTCCTCTTCTTCTCTGCAGTCCAGGTCTTCATTGCAACAGCTCTCAGTCACACACACACACTTCAGTTTGGTTCAGCTCAGCTCCGTTTGGTTCAGTGCAGGCAGCCAGTGGGACTTGTTTTATGTACAACGACCCAGGGAGGGCACAATCACACTTGTAAAAGTGCCAGATTGAGTGTGTGTGTGTGTGTGTGTGTGTGTTTGTGTGTGTATTCCAGACACTGTTCCACAGGACTGCTGCCCACCTGGTTTGCCCACTTACAAGGCAGAGATAAGAGTTTGTGTGACAGGTCTTTGTGTTCCTCCGCCGCACGCTGCCGGCAGCCAGTGTTAGGAAATGATGGCCGGACACCAGCGCACCACCATGAGGTTGTCTGCGCTCACTGACCGCTTCTTGGCGTGTTTCCTTAAGTCCTTGTATATGTCGTCACATAACCGTGAGATGGCCTGGAAGTTAAAGGAAAATCAGCTTTAAAGAAAAATGCCTCATCAAAAGCACATGTGAACGAGTAACATTAACAAATATCTGTAATCTACTGAAGTACAAGTCAGACATCATGCACAGCACAATGGCTCTGGAACAAGAAAGTCAAGCAGCCATTATTTATGTTATTTATTATTCCACTACTTTGCTGTTGGGAAATGTCAAAATGTCTGCTGTAGTCTATTTTGGATGAATAGAGAGAAAGAAAGCAGATTCATCCTGCAACAGCCACACCGTGTCTAAGACTTGTTTGAAATGCTAAGTGCAGAGAGGCAGAGGGACAGATGTTGACGCAGAGAAGCTAATTGCACAGCAACAGAGGATCTACGCTCCGTGCTTTCTGTCTCTGCGTGAATGTGCGTTGAGCTTGAAGCTCTTCAAAATACTAATTACCCTGATGGCCTTGGTTCATTGTATTTCACAGTAAGGAAGCATTTAATCTGACTCAGATTTGATTAAATCGACCCCCCCCCCTTTGTTGTCCAGACTTTATTTTACTAACATCCATCTTGAACGTGTCTCTGTTGCACTTGTGATCGGATCTCACTTCCCTGCTCTATATGACAAATACAAACATAATCTGTCCACGGAGAACAAATTATGTTTTTTAGCCAGTTTGAGCTTATAGATGTGTCCAATGTCAATGCGAGAGAGAGAGAGCGAGTGGAGTCAACAGGGGCTGAATGAATAAATGAATGAATGAAGGAAGATTTGACCAATGTAGGTAAAGTATCAGTCATTATGTGATCGCCATGTGGACACAAAGAAGCGTAAGAATATGTTTGGTTCATTGTGAAACTGCAGCGGGTCAGATGAGGTCAGCTGAGTAGGCGGTCCTTCATATGTGGCCTTGGACGGATTTAGATTGACACAGCGAAAAGAATGTGGCCATGTGTCCCAGACCACCTTCGAATTTGGTTTGAGTGATCTCAGGATGCATTTGGGTGCGTTCAGACCTGAGCTCCACGATGACCACTTGTGATTGGATCACTTCGGACACACGTTAATACGAGATGTGAACGGGGTTAGCGTGTGTGCTACTCACCTCCAGTTTCTGGGCCTTTTCCCTGCTGAGGGGCTCCAGGGGGAAACTGAGGTTGTTGGCCTCAGCGAGCGAGCGGAGGTCGAAGTAATACTTGGCGTAGACGCTGGACGGCACGTTGATGTTGAACTGCAGCAGCTCCAGGAACTGACGCTCCAGCTCATTCCTTTAGCAGGGAGAGAGGAGGTTTGACAAATCAGATATTTAGTTCGGAGGCAGTAAGTTAGTGAGTCTATCAAGATTGGGTTTCTGTCTTCAAAGAAATTATGTATAGACAGACTGAAGAAGGAAACACCATCCTGGCAAATCTATCGCCACACACACACAGACAGTGGGTGTTATCATCACGTGCACAGAACCCATGCACAAGCACTGAGTAAATCCCCACCAAATCCAAGCCTGTCCTCAAAATGAAAGGGAACAATATCCGAGCATTGGAGGCCCTCAGCATTATGTGCAAGAAAGAATATTAATCCCACTTCATGAAAACGCCATTGTCATGCGTTGCCTCATCCACGACAGCTCTGTGATCCTCTCTGCAGCGTGATGACATCTGCTTTCATCTATTTCTCTTCAGTCACAAGCAATTCATTTTGCATTTTTGCGACCTACAGAGGAAGAACACTATCCATCTCTTCTTTCTTGCCTGTCCTCCCCCTGCAACCTAGACCATGCACACTTACAGGCATGCAGCAACAGACGAGCTATATTTAGACTTCACCACATCCAAATTCTGCCGAATAACACTGCTTCTTTTTTATCTTGCCGTGGCACTCACTCAGCTATTCTCATCCGTTTCTCCACTTCGCATTATTCTTCCTTTAACTCCTTTCCTGTTATTTTACAGGCAAGAGGTGTAAAGGGGAATTCAGCAAACTGGGTAACGATTAAAATAAAAATAACACTGATCTTCCAAGGAAATCAGTGTCATTAAATATATTCCAGTAAACTGCCACATGCACAGCTGAAGCACATGCCGGGCTCCTCTCCCACACACACACACAGGTGGATTACAGTAAGTCAGCTGCGCCCAAGGACAAGAACATAGAGCCGTTGGCACAGAGGGGCATGAATGTGGAGGAGGGCAGAGGTTGCATCAGTGGCGGCACGTCTTCAGCATCATGTTCCCCCTCAGATTATTACAGACATGTCTGTTGATTTGAGACGGATGTGGTGTACGGGAGGGAGTGGAGGGTCCTTCATGCTCAAAATGCTTTTACCACATCTTAAACACTCAGAGTAAATATGACACACATGTCCATTTGAATTTGTAGTATCCAGAGTGAACCCTAACGTTAACAGTGCATCTCTTTATGGCCAGCCTCTGAAAAACTAGCCTTGTTTAAGCTTGGCGACTTGACATCATGTGAATTAGGGATGTTTATTTTTAGGTAAAAGGTGCAAGAAGAACAGATAAAAGCTATGAGCTGTATAAATCCTCTAACAAAGGGTAAACTGCACCTTCTGCGTCATGATCCTCTATCAGAGTGTTTCAGGGCCACAACAAATGACCATCAAGTGGGCAAAGGTCAACCTGAGCGTATCTAGACCACCATACATGTGACTCAACACCTCTTGAACCCAGGCAGACCCCACAAACACAGGCTATTCTCAGCAGAGAAAGACCCTGACTGTTTGGAACTGAGGTGAAGACACGTACGACAGTCTGGTAGGATGGTGAATAACAATGAAACCAGGTCAGCAACACTTAAAACTGAAGCAATGATCCAAGCAAAAGGAAACTGATTTATTGTTTAAGTTGTTTTTTTAAGCAAAAAATTTCCTAAAATGTGACAAAACAAACGATTTTAAGCATAAAAGTGTAACTGCGATGGCCGGGAATCGAACCCGGGTCAACTGCTTGGAAGGCAGCTATGCTCACCACTATACCACCATCGCTGTGTAAAGCACAGTTTTTCACCGAGAAGAAAAGGAAAGTCTGGAATTTATTTGGGAGAGGGGGAAGGGAGGAGAGGAAGGAGGCGGTACACACAGACAGAGAGAGAGAGAGAGACCAAGAGAGAGACAGAGACCGAGAGAGAGAGAAAGACAGAGACCAAGTATAAGAGAAAGAGAGAGACAGAGACAGAGAATGAGAGAGAGAGAGAGAGACAGAGACACGCACACACACGTATTTGTGGAAACACGTTATCCGTCAGGCTCCAGCTGGTGGACACCTCGTGTTTCCTCTGTGGATTCCGTCCTCTCTGTTTCTAACAACTTAAGAAAATGCTACAGGATTCACTCCTATGCCAACTTTATTTAAAACATTGTGTGGTATATTCAGTCATGTGAAGCTGCAGCTCCCACAGACGGACACTGGTTTCCTTTAGAGCTGAGCTGCTGCGATGAAACCACGGCAGACAGTTCTCTCCATCACAAGACCAGTGCAGCACTGAGGTGCACAAGTGGTTATTGTTGACGTTGGCTTGTTTCTCACCAACCAAACTTATTTTAAAACCAAAAACAACCGGACTGAGACAACTTGCTTTTAAGATTTCAATTTGAGTTGACCTTGATTTTATCTCTTATTGTTTGTTTTATTGCTTTTGTATTTTCATTTGTTTTTTTGTCATAAACTTGACTTCACAAGACAAGAGGTAACTTGTAAAGAATATGTGTCAGTGTACGTTAACAGCTGCTGAATCTACCTTTACATAGCAACAATATTATTTGTGATCATGATCCATGTGTCTCCGGTGACTCACATGTCCTCCACAGTGATATCCTTGAGAATTTGGCAGTAGTCTACATTCCACACGGCCTGATCGTCCCACACCTTGGACGCCAGGAGGATGGCTCCCAACACGATGCGCTTCCAGTTGGCAGGGCAAATGTCGATCTCAGCGTAGGTCAGGAGCCTCTCCAAGTACACCTGAGACAAAGAGGTGTGTCACACGTAAGTAACCCAGAACAAGCTTGTCCTTTCCAACAAAGAGATCATACACAACTGAGGAACCTGTTTATTCAACAACAATTAAACAATATCTTCTGATGAAATCAGACTAATGTTGCTTTCAGTTGTTCCAGACATTCTTCGGAATCATTATGTTCTTTCCATGTTTAACTACCCTCTACTCTTCCTGACTACAACTCTTCACCGACTTTTTAACTGTTTTGAATTCTCCTGCCTACTTCTCCTCCAGGTAAAAAACCCCAAATAACGAGATGTCAGCAGATGATGAGTTCTTCCCCCAGAGCTCCTCATAAAATATCCATGTGGATGGAACACGTCCATTTCGCTGCCTCTCTCTCTCTCCCCCATTTCCATTTCCATTTCTCGGTCTCTCTTTCAGAAGCCAGATTTCCCACAGTGTGCAGATCACAAAGCGCACTCAAACCCACAGGTATCTGTTTCTAACAAGTCGGAACAGAGGCTGATCCTGCAGATCCATTGATCATCGTTTTGTTAGGATCTATGAGAGAATGTATTCTATCACACTGTAGTTTGCTCTTGTCTGTGGACGCTGTAGGGATTTGCTGCACAGGGATAACTTAATGTCAGGCTTGCTGATAGAGGCTACACCTCAAAGTTTGCACAAAAGTTTTCATAAAAACTGTTCTGCTGAGTGCACACACAGGCACAGGTCAACTCTTCAGTCTTACTTTTGTTGTAATTATTAATTTAAAATTCAAGCAATTTTATTTATTCTATTAAATTCTATGATATAATTCTTTTAATTACTTGTGTATAGACCAGTACTGCTGTCATGTACTGGGTCCTGAATAAAGGCAGGTACACACAAACACAGAGCTAGGACAATACACACACCAACAACAATAATGTGGAAGTGTGTGTATAGGAGGACTTCTGGAATAAGTGTAAAAGTCTTTCTGTCGTTCAGACAGGGTAACTTAGTTTAGTTTTTTAATTTCTCAAAGAGCCTTTCACAGAAAATCGAATCTTCTTTACTTGATATCATTTAATACATCATTGATCCATCTGCTATGGGTAGGTGGCAGTACATGTTTCAATTTAAGACGTACACGTCGTCTAGCTGGAAGAGAGGTAAACAATATGATTCTATTAAGCAACAGTGAAGTGTTAGCGTTGGTCGTGGGTGGAACATAAAACCGGGCCGTAAGACGATCGGGTGGATCGTGATTTGAAAGATCTGAAAACGTCAGACCAGAACTTAAATAGATAGCGACAAAACATGTGGATTGTTCATAGAGATTACATGCATCACTTAAATCACAAATATCTTCTTATCAGATCATATTCTTGTATTTTTCCCACAACTAATTAGGGAGTTCAACTTTCATTTCCCATGAATAATATGAACTGCAGGCTGAACAGCGATCTGAATTCAGGCTGCTCACTGTGGCTTAGAGATAAGACATCTCAGCTGACATGTCTGGAAGAAAAAATTCTGGTTCGCAGAGATGCTGTATTTTTTATGGCAGAGTGGAAGATACTGTGCCTTCCACTTATAATTCTGTCTGAATCTGCACAGCAGCAGAACTGTCAGCATTATGTGACTTTAAAACTTAAACAGGAACCTGGAAGACTGATAGAAAGTAGACGCTGCTGTGCCGGAGGATCATTACCATGCGACTGGACATATGAGCCTGCCTTCTGGTTTAGACAAATGAACGAGAGCAACCTGGTTTGACTAGTTCGCTAGCGCAGCTCCGGTGGCTAATTGGACCGGTCATGCTGGGCTGGGCTTTGTGCCTGTGGGGCCATGCTAAGCTATCTGTTGTGGCCCAGAGGCTGCCAACAGACAGCGCATGTACACTCTCATCTGACAGAAGAAAGCTTGCGTGAAATGAGAAGCAGCCCACATGCTGAGTGATATGAATGTAACTCTACCAACAAACACAACAAAGAATACAGCGCCAGTGTGGTTGCTGCAAACAGTAGCCCTGTGCAAGCCGACCGCAGCCAAATGATTTCATGTTGGGATTTCTGAGCAAATATCACAGATGAGGTTTTGCTGCTAAAACAGATCAACTGATCGCCGTGCAGCTCAAATGTGAAATTATGCACGATTACATCACACTGGACTGTCCCAATTTGAAGGCTCCTTCAAATGCAGCCTTCAAATGCATCCTTTCTCCAAAGGGTGTAGCCTTTCTGGTCCTACCTATCCCATGATTCATTGCACTTTGGTGAACAACACGTTAAAGGAAAGTTTTGAAGTTCCTAACTTGTCACCAGTCTTCTGTTACTTCCCAATTTTCTGTGAGAACTTAAGAGACACATACTGTAGAGAAATATAAATAAGAATCAGGAAGCAACACTCCCTCCTAGTGTGAGCACTGAAACTCACACACAGACACTCACCAAAGTGACGATCGCACACTCAGCGGTGAGCTGTGCGGCGCTGAACAGCGTCCTGACGAAACGGTAGATCTGCTTCTGCTCCGGGTCGTGTTTTTCATAATCAGCAGGAATCTCAGACTTCTATGATGAATAAAAGATAAGAAAAATAAATGGTATGAATGTGAAACATACCACAAAATAATAATTGATCTTTACCCCAATGGAAGCTGCTAGTTGAGTATTTTGCTTATTGATGAGTGTTATTTTCAACGGTGTGTTTTAAAGCATCGAACGGAGAGGTTCTGTAAATCCTCAGATTGAAACCCTGAACATTTTTACTAAAAATACATGTGAATGATCCAGATGGCTCCAGAGATTATGAGGATTTCCCCACTGTTTGATCCGCGTGAGCTTATTTGCTGTTCATCTGTTAGTGTGGTTCGTCTTTTGATGAATCCTGGCAACTCTGTATTATTGCTATAAAGGAAACGTGTCTTCAGCAAAGGCCTTACCGAGAGCGGATGCAGTTTCTCGTCGAAAATGTCTAACAACATTCTTCCGTCGACATCTCTGAAATGACAAACGGAGAAGAGGAACATCAGAGCATGACAGGAATAAAAAACAGATGGTGTGAAACTCATTTCATATCAGATATTGCCTGTTCAAAAAGCCATTTATGGGCATTCATCTGCACTTCAAACAACAAGACTCCTGCCAATTACAGTGAAAAAAGACTAGAACAAGCTGGGCCACATTCAAGAACGTGTTCGTATTCTCATCAGGTTTGTCCGTACCAGAGATTCAATCCATATTTACGAAACTCTCTTAACTATACAAACTGTTCATGAAGAGGTGCCGTATATGAGACATTACCATATTCAAAAAAAAATACTTCACAGGTCTGTGTATCACCATTTATAGGCAAGACTCCTTCACAAAAATGAACAACTTCACAGTATGTGGCTTCACGTCCTGCTGCCAGAAACCAGCAGAAGGAAACAGACCATTTTAGCAGAGTCAGAAGTTGGATTAGGGAAAGTTTGATTCCAGCTTTTAACCATCTGTCATCAGAGAAGCGCAATTTTGTGAAAGAAAAAAAAAAATAGGATGGGATTCCAGTTTGATGATTAAAAAACATCTTTGAAAAGCAAAATGGCCCATGACTGATATAAGGGGCAGTCAAGTCACAGAGGTGGATGAGAGAATATTAAACAGCAGGTGGCGCTACACTCAGTCAGGTAGTGTAATGAAGCAACCTACGCAAAGACACTAACGCCACTCAAACACAATCAGTGGTACAATCGTTCCGCACTGACTCTGCCGTTGTTTTCCTATGGGGAGAGAGGTGGCAGTCAACCAGACGGAAGGGCTAACCCTGGTGTGGAACACTCCCTGGAACTGTCACTGAGCACAGATGACTTTTCGCAGCACAACCGATGAGATAACAGTCGATTTGATGTAGTCGGAAGCAACAGTCAAAGGAGACTTGATGGAGGAAAACTTTGGGTTTCTGCATTCCGTGAACTCTATCACACGGCTAGTAGGTTTGAGATTAGGTTTTTAAGTTTTTTTATTGTGTGAGGGCACAACTAACATTGACATTCCTGATAAAATCATAAAATAAACCATTAGAATCATGATGATCTGATAAAAAAAAGAATAATTCCACATGTTTATTTTTAGTTGCTGACTTTGGTATCATGTTCCAACTGCATAAAAAATGATCACATGAGTGGCCCACTGTTTACACATTTAAACAAGATGACATTTCATTGCAGAGGAATGGATTGAGTAAGTAGGTTGACATTTCAACATAAGCCACAAGGGGAAATTCCTATCTGCCCAGGGTTAGCTTTGTCTGCTAACCTAAGTGAACGTACAAAAACATGTATCCTACCTGTTCTTTATGTGGTAGTATATTGCAAGGGCTACACTGTAAAGAAAAAAGACATCATAATGCATATTAAACCGAATCCAGAAAAATAAATTGAATGAATCATTTGACATTAAAATTATTAAATGAGACAACAAGTTTGTTCAGCTGTGTCAGATGGAATTACCATTTGATGGTGTATTTGAGGTTGGGTTGACTGACGGTGCTGTCGTCCAGGAATATGGTGGAACACGAGCTGTACTTCCGTCTCACAGGGCCTGGGTGATGCTGGAGTCCGCAAACAAACACACACACACACACAAACACACACACACGTGTCAAACTCTATTTCTGTCAGACCTGCTAAAACGCCTGAGAATGGCTATGAAAAGTGGGCCACCTGGAAGCCCACAGACTAATTCTGTCATTCATCCTTCAGTGTCTCACATGTTTGCATGCAGGAATGGCATTTATGGTGGAGTGCATCTTTAGAGAGCCAATAAACTTTCATTGGCTCATTCTGTTCTACTCATCCAATCAAAAGCATGAATGTATTGTTGAAGATGAAAGTACCCGAGAAACAGTTTCTCCCTTTATTATTTAGATAAAAAGTAATTTGCTGATTCAAAAATGCAAATATTCCCTTCAAGACCTGAATCTATTTTTTTCTTTTCAAAATAAAAGCAAAGCAATGCTTATGGCTTTCAAAATAAAAATCTGCATCAGTGACTGCATATTCCTGGGAGGAATGGGCAAAGATGAACAACACCATAATGGGATGAAATCATTTCTACATTTCACTGTATCTAAATAAAGGCCTTTAACTACATCTGAACACTGAGTTCTTTTCAGGTTATTAAACATGACTGACAAATGGAATCTGTGGAGTTCGATGAGGTGAAAGACGGGCTGCATTATTCGGAGGAGTTTACCTTGCTCTCCGAAATGTGTGTGAACTTGCAAAAAATACAAGACATCAAAATTACCACCAGCATTATCATAATTATTACAATTTCATGATACAACCAAGAAATCAGTTGGATCTTTTCACAATGCGCTTCATTAACTTTCACAGTGGGCTTGAGTTTACTCACATGGTTGATGTAAAGGCTCTTCCGTTTCTCTCTGACTGAAAAAAAGAAAAAGACGAACGGACAAGTGTCAGTGCAGTACACCACCCTGACAGACAGGGAGCAGCATTTACCCAGGGTTCGTAGGAGAATAATGGATTGACAGTTTTTTCCCTCTAATTATTCTACAGTACATTAAACAAAAGCAAAGCAATTTCAGCACGTAGCACTTCATATATTCAGAGACGCTGAAATGGTTTTCTCTCCTGATACATTTGTGTTTTAATGTGTGAAAAAGTAGGTGAACTAATTAATTAACTCATTCATCATTTGGGCCATCACAAGTCTAAATTAAATCAAGCAAGGGTTCGTGTTAATGGAAGTGTTTTAAGTGTATTTGAAAAAAAAGATGATTCTGGTCAATTGCACTGTTAATTATGTTTACTGGACGTGATGATTATTTCGTTTTGTTAAGCTCACTTCTCTGTTGCTTCATGTCATTCTGAATATGGCAACAAACAAACACAGCTGTATGTGTGTGTGTGTATCCCCATGTGTGTGTGTATGTGTATATGTTCTCTCTGATGTAGGAAAACACACAAGAGGGAAAGGGAGGCAAAGCAAACTGGAGCAGTGATGTTGTAACTGTCTGGCACCTCATATCCCAGTACTGACTGTCTCTCACCTCTCCAGCACACAAACACACGCACACACTGACGGACACACTCACACACACCAATGCAGTTTTTTCCCCAATGAGCAGTTATGACTGTGTGCGCTGCTTTCTAGCAAACAGCAGCAGGTGATTACATCATAAATAGGGCTGCAGATTTTCCTGAAACCACAGCTAAATCCCAATTCTGGAGATTCGTAAAAAAGAAAAACTAAAATGTTTTTACACAACAGGACACAACACCTGCCCACACAATGTACTGTGATACTTGTGCCCATACTCTTGGGTGAATCCTGATTTGTTTTCATTCAAGATATCTAAAGTATGAGGGTCAGAAAATCTCAGGTTGCAATTATTAAATCGTAACTTTAAGAGAATAAAGTGGAAATTGTTCAGTTATACTTTTGTAAAGTTTCACAAAAAAATACACAACCCTTTTCCTATTCCTAAGAGAAAATCACATAAACTTGAGGAAATAATGAGATTGGTTAAAGATTTTACATCCATCATCTTTCTTTTTAATTTACAACCTTATCCTCACAATAATATGACTCTCACAACTGTTCCTTGTAATTTTGTGACTATTTCCCTTGTTAAATTATGACTCTTTTCTAATTAAAGTACGACTTCATTCTCATAACACGATGACTTTTTTTCTTGTAAAATGATGACCTTTTTCTGATATTAGGACGTTTCTTTCATTAAATGTCAACTTTATTCTCATTAAGAATATTGCTCATTAAATCAAGACATTGTTGTTTTATTAATATTACAAAATTATTCACAAAATCTCAAAAATATATCTCTCAACATGGCCCTCATAAATCAGGTGTAATAAAAGTGCTAGTAACATGAAAAATAAGTCATGCAGCCCCATTCATAACAGCGTAACTTACGGACGGGCAGGTACAAAGACAAGAACACACGCTGAAACACACCAGAAGCTCAGCAGTGATGGCGAATATAAATATATATACCCTGAGACAGAAGACAATACAGATCGACGCACATGAAGTGTCTGAACACACAGTAAGCGTATACCTGCCGGCTGAGACCAGACACAGTCATGCTCACCTCTTTTGTTGGGCACAGCAACTGAAAAACAAAAGTCCAAGTTGTCTCTATGTTTGCTGATGACACAGATGCACAATGGAGTTCAATGAAATAAAGACTGCAGTGTATAAATGAGCCCATTGTGTGGTATCCTGTATTTGGTACTTATGTGCAATGTGTTGGGAAAATAGGCCAGCGAACATTCACACAAGAGCCCGATAAGGCTAATAAAAGAGCATGGAGCCTCAGCCTCTAATATCAGATCAATACATCAGCCTCCAGGCTAACAACTCTTCCGCTGAACCAGTTTTTCCAACAATATTAATCCTCTCTGAAGAGATAAAATCTTCACAAATAAACTTCAACACATTTCAGTTGAAATGTGATATTACTGTCTCTCTGTTTAAAGTAAACGATGAAATGATCAAAACTCCAAACCACTGAGTCACAGAAAATCTGACGGAGAAGCAGCTGGTAGGAAACTTTAACGGCGGCCTGCCTGCAGCCTCTTTAGTGGATTAACGGATGCTGCATAGTGGTCCTTCTGTGTAGCTCCACATCTGCATCTCTGCATCAATGAAACAAACGTGCTATCCCATGATGTAGGAGGATCTCTTTAACTGAATTGGTTACAGATTAATTTTTTCAGTAAAAACAGGGACGATCGAACGCATAAGGATCTTTAATTGAATTTTCTGAACTGTGTGTGCAGCATTAATATTTAAATGATTTAATTAAAAACACTTTGTGGAATTGATTCACCAGTTTGCATGTTAATCCATAACCTTGTTTACACATTCTGTAACAGACTACTTCTCATCAGTCATTTCATCAAGGTATTAACTCTGAATGAGACACATAATATCACAGTCCTTGAAAACTGAACCACACATTCCTCCGATTCTTCATTCTTCATTCATACAGTCATCAGACGGCTACAGGAGTTGAATCATCCAAAACAGAAGGGCAATAGAAACAGGTGTGAATGACACAGAGTGATAGGAATCCCTCATTAATCTCAAGATAAATTTCATTATGGGCAGCACAGCCACCATCACATTACAGTCTTGCTTTTGATGTGCATCTAAGTGAATTGCAGAGCGTCCAGGGAAGTGTAGGAGGAATTTATGTGGTTATTTGTGATGAATGTGGGGGTTCAAATAAAGCCACAACAACAACTAAGACTTTTCATCACTTTACCACAAACCACACTAGAGCCAATATGAGCCTTTAAAGGACATATCAGTATCTGTGTTGAATGCACCAATATGAAAACTTATATTTTATGGAATAAACAATGCAGAACAATGCATTTCTGTTGACATTTTACATAAAAATGAAGGTAATTTTTGTGATTCAAGTTTTATATATGGTTGTATTTGTGTTGGATTTTATTTAAATACATTCACATTTCCTTGTCACTAGGTTTGATAATGACATCTTAGGAATTGTTGCCAGATTTAGTAACTATATCAGTAACAGAAATGTTTTATTCCCTTGGTATTTGCATCATCCTCCACAAATTCCTATTAGTCAGACTAGACCACACACACCAGGTCTGAGCAGGTCATAGTAGGCCTGAAGTAGAAAATCTGCTTCATGGACAGTAAGGCAGTTGTCAACCTGATCACTTTCAAGGACTGTGAAATCTGACTGTCCTCATAGTAAATATACTATTGAAATACCTTCCTAAACCGAGGAGTGAGGACATTTTCAGAGACAGTTTCAGAGACAGTTTCTGAGAGAACACAAGGTGCAGATGAAATGGAGCAGAACTCACCATCCGTTTGTGACTTGCTGAGGAAGATGGTACTGGCCCTGGGATGATCTGAGGGGTTATACTCCATGGGCAGATCTGGAAGAAAGAGAAAAATAACTTAAGTCTCACAGGCAGTTCTTAAATTATAGATCCATTCCAAACTGATTTACAAGCAGCATACTGTGAACAGTAAAGTTTGTTTAATCGCTCAATCATGATCTTTCTACATTCAGCAGCAGATGAGTGGAGCTGTAGTTCTGAGGGCTCTGACCAAAACACATTGTGGAATGAAACCTTTCAATCTGGGGCTGAAAACATGGGACTGGCTTTAGGGGTTGACAAGCTCGCTTGTATTACACTGGGACGGAAACACAATCTGTCGGCCAACAGTTTGCTGCACCAGCGCTGTGTAAATGGCCATTTGTAAATCGATGCCCTAAACAAACACAGCAGAAAGGTATAGATTTGTTTTGTCTGCACTACACACACATTCACCACCTAGGATCCACCCGGGGATCAGACACAAGATGCTGCTAGAAAATGCAAAAGGTTCTATGAGCATACATGACGTCATCTGGCTTCTGACTGTGAACTAGACTGTTACAGGTGAGTCACCAGGTACTCCATAACACAAGGGGTTTCCACTATAAGTTGTCAGCTTCTCTGTGTTTGTTTTGCTCCGTACACATGAACATAGGACAGTTTGGGTGCTACAACAGTTGAAGCATTTACCTATGTACACATACAACTCCTGAAGATTCCACGACTTGGATGACTGAGAATCTTAAAGTGTCATTTAAATTTACTTTTGTACTGTTCTTCCCAGTATCTGCCTTGTAGAGACAGGACGACCTTTCTTGTCTTAACATTTATATATCAGTAGTTTACAGCTAATCATCTGCATTAAACAGCGATTAAGGCTTTGAGGTAAGAACATTCACTTTCTCTATTGTACTGGACAAATTAAGACACAGCTTTCTTTGTAAGTTTGATGTGACATGGCTGTCTGATATTTAATGAGCTGACACTAATTTTTGTCAATATTACTAGATTAATGTGTTTTTGGTCAAATCATCATCTAAGAAAAGTCGAAAAAGTCGAAAAGCTAAAGCCATTCAATTTTAAAGCGATAAAACTGAAGAAAAAATTAAATTGAATAGGCTGGATACAGTTTTCTGAAGAGGCTGATTGTTTATCAGGATTTCTGTTAATCTTCTGATGATCAATCTATTCATGAATTAATCATTCCAGTGCTAGTGTGTAATTGGAAAATAAATGTAAAGCCTATTCAGGCTAATCTTAAGGAATACACGTTCGTTCTTTTTATTCATGAAGCTAATTCTCTCACCTCACAGCCTCAGTTCACTTTTTGGTTTCCATTCCTTCATTTACATACACCACCCTCCCCCTTCCCCTCCTGTCTGATGTGATGACATGTTAATACCAAACCAGAGCCAGCGACAGTAACGTCACCAGGCAGATGGCAGCTATGCAAAACCACTGAGTGTATCAGCATACGTTTTATGCCCCATTACTTTGCCCTGGTTAAACCCCACAGGACAAATCATGTTTTTATAAACAAGACATTCATAAAGAAGAGTGGGGTATTAAGAAGGTTTCTGTAGCCTGAAGACATCACATTCATATCTGTGGATAGTAAAACAGAGTCTCAGTTGTTGGAACACTGGACTGGTATTATCCCTCCTTGATGACTTGAATTTTATGGTGGTCAGGTCAGTTGATTTAATATCCTGAGCAGCCTGAGAGAAAACATTTGTTGACATAAGGTTAAGATTATTACTGTGTTTCCAGCTGGGTTAAGCATTAACTTCTAAAATCTACAAACCCAGGAACAGAAGTTACGAGAAGCACAGATGAAATATTGCAACCACCAAGAAAACTGAAAGACAATGTGCACGGGTACTGTGGGATGTGGACCCCATCAGTAGCTTCCTGGTGCCTCGGATGATGTCAGTGAAACCGGAAGGGTCAGACAGGACCAACACCCAGATACACTAATAGAGAGAAAGAGACAGAGACAAAAGAAAAGAGACTGGCTGGTAATGAGGAGGAAAGGGGGTGAGAGAGGTCGAGAGAGCAGAAAAGTGATGAGACTGACAGTTCTGAAATGTGACTGACGGGGAGGGAACTAACGGAAATGAGAAAAGAAAAAGTGAGATTTCGAGGATAAAATAACTTAAAACAAGAACTTTTATAATTTACGAGAATTAGGAAAATTAGGTTATAAACATCAGGAGAACCTGCATGCTTGCTATGGAAAAACTTCCCATTATGTCTTGAGAAACAACAAAATCCCCCATTCCTCTTTTTAACAATCCCAACTAACTGATCTTTTGATATCCCCCCTCTAAAATGACCTGTAGCCTAAAATATATTGCAATATTATGACTTAATTCTCGGGAAATTACAACTTTATATTGGTTCATTTAAAACTTTTCTTGGTTTTTTACAACTTTATTCTAGTAATATTAAGGCTCTCATTTAGAATGATGACTTAATAGTATGTATCAATTTATGGCTTTGTTCTGGTTAAGACCCATTTCTTATATTATTCAAATTGTATTCTTGTAATATTAGGACTTCATTCTAGGTAACTTAATTTTTTTTTTTTTCCTTGTAATAACTTCATTCACCTGAATTTTCCACTTTATTTTCAGAATATTCAAGCCCTAATACTAATGAGAAGAGGATACTGAGGATGAGAGCATAGGTTGGGCAGAAACTGTGGAAAATGAGAGCCTCTTTAAGCACACTGCAAGTTATGCATGCAAGCCATCGCCATTGTGTCCGAACTCTTTTGAACTACTGTCTTTTTGTGTTGTAGAGCCACTTGAGGAGCCTCAAAGGACACTAACACACATACTCTCTCTCTCTCTCACACACACACATATACAGACACACACAAACACACACATATACACAGTACCGTGATGTGGGAGGAAGTGACACACAGTGCTGAATAAAAGATGGGTGTGTGGGAACAAGCAAAGAGCAGCAAAGGAGAACTGAAGGTGGGTTAATAATGTTGCACACTGCTCCACTACATTCATCACTCCACTAGTGATGCATACACACTCAAGTAACACAAACATCTGCAACACATCAGTCACAAATAACTGCTAAAAGCTGAAAGTATCTTTGCTTTCTTAATCACAGATGAGGTGATGTTTTTTTTAAAGGAAGGAAGCCGACTGTCCGTGGACCCAGGGTGTGTCCCTCACCACAGTTTTTGTCAGTGACCTCCTGTGTGGTTCCACCCTCCCCTGTTTTCTCTCCCTTTCTCCAACCTGGGGGAGACGCAGGCACCCAACTTCCTGCATTTCAGGAAGCAGAGAGGAAGCAAAGCAGGGGGTGGCAGTTACACATTGTTAGGGAGGTAGGCTAAACAAAGAGTGGAGGGATTAGGTCAGTGTGTAAAGATTTAAGACAGACATGGATTAACGTCCACCACTTCCCCAGCAGAACACAGCTATAATGTGAAAAGATGAAGGATAAAATCAAAAAGAGAAGGACGCAAGAACAGCTTCAAGTTATTCCTCTTCTTCTGCTTTTTATCAGAATTAATTATCAGAAAAACAGTCATTACCTTTTAGTTCAGGTGGAACCTGAACCACAAATCCCTGAAACATTCCCCACAACAAGCTGCATCCACCTGCTGAGGAAACCGACACCCTTTATGTTGCTGTTACATTGTGCGACAACGACATCTGTATTGGCATGGCTGGCGGTTAGCTGGCAAGCTGCCTGCCTGCACTGAGAGCCTGTCATGAGGGTTCCCTCAGGTTGCAACATCAGCCCAGACAGGGCTGTTTGCTGACTTTTGGCTGCCCTGCTGAGGCGTCAGCTTGGGGGGAGGGGGAGGGCATCCAGATGGCACAGCATGGCACTGCCCCGCTGTCAACAGCATGCCATCAAGCAGCACGCCCACACAGCTAAGGAGCACTCAGCACATCTTGTGAAAAGAGCACAAGATGTAGTTTGTGTTTGAAAATAGATCAATTAAAAGGAATGTCGTGTTGCATTAGGCCGGACTGTGTCTGTTACCAAGGTCAGCGCATGAGGCAGAGCAAAGCCATCCTCAGGTTGTATGAGGATCTTACTTTCTTTCTGCTAATCAGTGTTGTAAATGCTGTTATTTTGCTGATGTTCTCAGTTACATCTACATGTTTCCCCTGTTAACAGGGTGTTTTGGTAGTTTATAGGACAGAGGATGTTCCAGCTTGTTAAGTCCTATGAGACAAATTGCGATTTGTGAATATGAACTATACAAATAAATTTGATTTGATCTACCTTGAAAGATTGAAGCTCTCTGCACATTTGGCCAGCGTTTTACTCTCTCTTGATCTCACCTTGAATCTAATCCATCGGCTCTCTGGTGTCAAATCGGCCTCTTGAGTGAAGCTGTGAGCGGCAAAGCAAAACCGTTTTCATCTGATATGTATCACAGTGTGAACTTTACAACCTCTGCACCACACGATATTGTGAGCTGGCCCCCGATAACAGTCCCGTGTTGTGTGTGTGTGTATGTGTGTGTGTGTGTGTGTGTGTGTGTGTGTGTGTGTGTCTCATAATAGGAGCGAGGAAAGAGAGAGGTCCAACAGAGGGGACAACGCCATTAACAAACACAGTGGGCAGGTATATACAGTTAAGCGTCTCTCTCAGCGGAGATATGGACGGTGAAGTATTATGAGCTCTGCTGTGGGATTAACCCTGCACCTTTCTAGAAATGTCTTATCTGTGTTATGGCAATTAACGCTGTGTCACTTTGCTGTTGTCAGACATGTCCAGCGCATAAAGTCCAGAGAATTCGATCTGGGCTTTATCTGCGGTTTTCCTTTCACACATGCTCAACACAGCGGGAGGTTCTCTGCACAGATGTGTTCACAACAGCAACAAATCCTCCACGTTATTCAGGCGAGAGTTGGAGCAGCCGGGTGCAGCAGGCAGAGGCAGGAAGTAACATATTCATTCCACTGCGCTGATCACCTGATTTTATTTTCAGCACATAAACACCGTTGACTCTTATCACCACAAACTCTCTTGACATCTTTGCCTGTTTCTTCTATGTGTATGGC